GCCATGACATCAGGAACAGATGTTGCACATGGTGAGGCCCATCAAGGGACAACAACTCTGCATCAGTCTATGAATATTTTAGACAGCTTACTGCTGTACTTATCAGCGAAAACACACTCATGCCGGGCAAGGACCCAGCCGGTCTGATCTTAAATTCGGGCGATGCTGCAACGACTTTAGTGAAGAAGTGGGGGAAAAATGCACGATAGGTTGACGAAGTGCTGGCTTGCGAAAAGAGGACGAAGAAATTGTGCAAGCACGCATGAGATGGAAACAAAGCCCTCTTCATCCCGGGTCAAACAATGGCGATTCTGTCAAAGCTTTACTGCTTATTTATCTAGTGTAATATCAGACCGTAGATCTTTTCAATATATGTGTAGATACTGAGGTCAACATCCACATTCCTGTAATCCACACCCTTTTCTAAGCACAGCATGGGCCAGAAGCCTCAACCTCTCCTTGACCCCTGAGGAAAAGAATCCCTCAACCTTATCCCCGGAGAGACTTTCATTACAGACAAAAACAGAATCCATGGGTGGCCAGAGTCATATTCTGATATTAGGGCAGAGGACATGGATTTGATATGAGCCTGGAAATAGTCCTGTAGACTTCAGAGTGAGCCCCGGGTTACATGTTGAGCTTTAATGGACCTCCTCCTGCTCATCAATCACGCGGAAGGAAAATGCTTAATTGCAGATTTCAGACCGATGCAGTAGCCTGACATCATCCTAGCGGAATGGGAGAGAGGAGACAGGTTTTGAATTGCTTGTGAGCCGTGCAGATGGATACCACTTCCTAGTAAAGGTAAATGTCCTCATGAATTATGAGCTTGTAGCGGCATTTAGAGTTATGGTTGACACAGATCAGCTCAACATTCAATATCACAATTACAGTAAGAGCTGGTGTAATGTTTCTCATATGGATAGTAGCATAAACCTTAGACCAGGAACTGAATCACTGCAATATGGACATACACCACAGTATATAGAGCAAGATGTTAATCGCTCTGTATTTCATGACTCAGGTAGGGGAAAATGATTAGTTTGTGTTTGAACTTTTCATATTTTTATAGAAAACGTTTTTATAGCACCAGCGCAATATGTGTTTTCATTGAAAACCACGCAGAGTTTTTCCAGAAGAACAGAAGATTTTGAAGCAAAACACAACTCGCATTCCTCGGCTTTCAGCTCGAGCCGCTCAGAGTTTAGTTTTGTTAGAGAAATGTCTTCTTTTCCTCTGGTAGCAATGATGAGGATGATTTTTATTCTCCTTAATATTCATTCGAGATAAACAAATGTTTTGTGTCAGTATGAATGCATTTTCCACCCACTTGAGCGTTAGCCACTCTCCAGCCAGACAAAAGAGAACGCAAGGGATTGTAATTTTAAAGCGCAACTCCATTCGCCATGACTGACATCTCTCTCTCTCTTTTTTTTTTAATTGACCCCAGGTCAAATAGGGACTGGGATAATATTTTGTTAAATTATTCTCATTTCCCTGTGAATCACATTTCCATATATCTCCACTTCATGCCTTATTTATTACCTCCCTACAATTACCATGCAAACGATGTCTTAACTGTCACCCCTTTCTCCCTCTGAACAGTTTAGTAAATATCAAACCATATTTATTATTAATAAACCCACAGCTGAAAACCCCCTTTTTATTTATAAATTATTCACAGGCTCAAAAGCTCGGGGAGCAAGGGCGCCCTCCATTTGATGCCACGGAGGCCAATATAATTAAGACTATTGGCTCGAACTGATGCTGATGCAAGTATCATCTGTTTTGCCCTCATCTATCTGTCCATCTGTGCGAGCCATAGGAAATCATACATTTCAATCACAGCAGCATGCCTGGTGACAGACTTTGCACAATGGATGTTGATTTTATTATCACAGCACAACTGGTGGAGACACCCTGCTGTTTTACAGCTCACCCTAACCCTGCCTTCAGTCACTCCATGACGGTTTAACACATGCTCACTATGGCCCAGCAAACACACACTATGTGTTGTGTGTGTGTGTGTGTGTGATTGATGAATGATTTCCTTTGATTATCCTTCCTATACTCAACCTGATTTGCACACTGACACAAGTACAATAAGCGTGTGTGTGTGTGTGTGTGTGTGTGTGTGTGTGTGTGTGTGTGTGTGTGTGTGTGTGT